ATATATATATATATATATATATTATATGCGTGTGTGTGTGTGTATGCATGCATATAATATATGTATACTGCAACAAGCAAAACGCATATCAGCATACTACCCAGCAACAATAAACTGCAACAAACAGAACACGTTGCAGCAAACGATGCACTGCAACAATATATTGCGAGACAAAACGGCATTAAACAACGGAAGTAATTGCCTTTTCCGTTTTCTGTTATTTCCCCGGAATTGTTGAAAAGGTTGAATTCTAAACATCGAAAAATACAAACAAAAAGAGGAAAATGTCGAGTAATAGGCAAGAATAATTTAAATATTAAACATCAATAAATACGACCTAAAGGGAGTTTTAAGGTTGTTATAGGCCTATATGTTGCTTATAATATCTTTTCCTTTGCAGTGTGTCATAGTTACCTGGGAAGTGCAGCAAGTGAAGATTGAATTCGGTAGCGAGAAAGCAGCGAAATGTTTGAAAAGAGTTGTTTAAGACGAAATACATTATTTTTAGAAAGAAAAAAAGAGATGAAAAACAACAAAGACAAAGTGCTTGTTGTTTGTTGCAAACGAGCTGCATTCGTTTATTGCAGATCTTTGCTTGCGTTCGTCTTAGCACTTTCGCTGTATATGGCTATGGAAATGCAAAAGTTTCAATTAATTAAACAATTTCCTGTCATTTTACTTCAGAATTTATTAATTAATTGCATTATCTGCATTTTTGCAGTTCTTCTTCGCGCATCCACAAGATTCAAAGCCTTCACAACTCATAGTCACTGCACCACCATCTCCCTCTCAAATTCAATTTGACTTAATTTAACTGAGTTTAATAAAGTTAAACAAAACTAAATTTGAACTGATTTGAATGGAATGGAGTTGATTGAATGAATTGCATAGTTTCATATCAATTCAAATCGAAGCAAATCAAATTGAATCAAAGAAAATCAACCGAAGCAGAAGAATGAAATAAGATATAATTAATTTCATCTATGGTATTTTTTGTTTTTTGGTGGTTTCTTCGGCTTGACGTTGGTGCCATATTGTTCAATTTTGTGAAAGCGAGCGAAAGAAGGCCGCGACTCCCACGTCTTATCGTCCTGAAACGTGCAGAAACAGAATCAGCATTTTCTTTGAATTCGACGTTTTCTTTTGAATTAGGTAAAAGAAACCCAAGAATAATACATGGAAACGCAGACATGTTCCATGTTTACCTTTGATTAATCAGTGATCTCGGGCAATAGAAACAGAAAAAGAATATAAACCAAAAGGAACTCGGCAAAAAAAACTAACAACATCCAGAACTTGCAAAAGCACGTTTTACGTAGCGAGTGCAAATAAAATTCTTCTTCAATATATAGGGTTTACGGTTTCGCTTTTTGTACGACGTGTGCACTGTATGCAGCTTTAGGGTTTAGAATTCATTAATCCGTGTTTCATCTTCTGTGTGTCTGTGTTTCGTGTTTGTCATTAGGATTTGGGATTTAGGGTCTAGGCTTTATGTTTCCGTATGCAGTGAATATTGCCGTGTATGTTGCATAAAGCGAAGGGTTTCTCCTTACATCTTCGTCTTCCATGGTATTTGCTTCTGCTTCTTCTGGGGGTTCGCATCTACTGAAGGTTATTTGCCCAAGGTGTCTATCAGCCGTCAGCAGCTGTGTGTCTGCCGGTTGAGGCCCCAGCAGCACTTCTCCTCGGGGCCCCCCTCGCTGTACACTGTACCACCGATCGCCAACTTTAATATAATGCGGAGAAGCGTCAAAAGCAGCAGAAGACGAAGAAGAAGACGAAGAAAAAACAGAGCCCACGCCAGCATTACCCGCACCCAAAGAAGATATGTACGCAGAGAGAAGCTCTGCAATACCGCAGCAGGCACAGATGTTCATACAAGGGCAGCAATATATATATATATATATAT